ATTAACAACAAGGTCCAACAGTAAAAAAAGACTGTACATTCGCCCATATGCTGGAACCTGTTTTTAATAAATTATTTACTGTGCAATTGATTTAATGTTGTAAACCTTTTAATTGTATGTATATACACAAAGGCCGTTTTAATTACCTTGTTTTCTTGGTGCTGTATAAATCACAAACTTGAATAGAAATCTACCACAGTATTGTTTTAACATCAATGTAAATAACACAGCGAAAATAATTGTAGGTATTTAATACTATAGATGTAGTTGCTTAGTTATTTCTCGTTGCTAGAATCCGGGAGTTTGTTCCAGAGGCCAAAACAGCCTAAATAGCCCAGTGTGTATATCTTTATGGTAAAATAAAACAAAAACAGACGATGTTTTCTTCCCGAAGAAGGTCTTCCGTTAAAGAGTTCAAAAGCTTTGATTTTGGATATTCACATTAATCCAAACAATAACCAGAATCCAAGAATATGTGTTTGTAAATCGAAACTTGATAATTGTTAATTGTATTTATTCTGTGGTGAATATTATCTAGTTAAAGATTGGATCATGCAAATTTATTGCTAATTTGATCTTTAAACAACTTTGGAAACACATTGACTGATATTTCTGTTCTTATAGCAAGAAAAGGAAGTCGTATACTACAGTCTTTGACCCCAGAACAACGTTCAGATGCCATCAATAGGATAGCCGAGCTGTTGCAGTCAAGAAAAGAAGAAATCCTTCAGGCAAACAGCCGAGACATAACAAGGGCAGAACAAGAAAGTAAGTCTTTAAATAATCTTAAAGAAAATCTGACAATACAAGACTAGCACTTTTAAGACTTAAATATTTCATTTATGATAAGAAATATAACACAATAAAAAAAATCGCCAGCATATTTTGACATTATTAAGTAGAAAGTCGTAAAACTAATTTTAAAGCCGTAAATAGTTGAGTAAATAGTAGACAACACACTTATAACAGCTGTTTTTATAGATTATCTGATACTTTATAACTCGATTGAATTAAGAGTTATCGCATATTATTTAAATTATTTAAAATGTGGTATCTGGTACCGTAAATGCCAGCCGTGGAGCCACGGTCGACAAGTTTAGTACCTATATGTTGGTTTATGACGAGACTCAGGCTAAGCGGGAGTACAATGGCTCCACGATTGAAAGTGTTGAGAATCCAACCAATTCTTGTATGTGTGTGTCACGTTTGATCCCAAATAAGTTTTAATTAATTTGAGTTTGGTAAAGTTTCTTTCTATTCTAGCAATGGCCAAAGTCAGCAGACTACTCAGTATAATTAAAGTGTTGGGAATACAATGGTAATCTGCTTCTTGCACATGCATTCCAGTAAAGTTGCAATACAACATCAGTTACCTCGCCATCTCGTAAGCTGACTTACAGATTCATACAGAATTTAGCAATTGACTTGAGCTCATTTTTTTTCGACAAGTCAGCGATATAGTACAGGAAAGTGAACAAAGAGCTATGTTTCCCTAGCTGTTAAACCTCACTTCGACATATTTAATATTGTGTTATCCCGTTGCTGCTGAACCTCACTTCGACATATTTAATGTTGTGTTATTTCGTAGCTGCTAAACCTCACTTCGACATATTTAATGTTCTATAATCTCGTAGCTGCTAAACCACACTTCGACATATTTAATGTTGTGTTATCCCGTAGCTGCTAAACCTCACTTCGACATATTTAATGTTGTGTTATCCCGTAGCTGCTGAACCTCACTTCGACATATTTAATGTTGTGTTATTCCGTAGCTGCTAAACCTCACTTCGACATATTTAATGTTGTGTTAGTAAGCTTATTAAATGTGTGTTACATTTTACATACGAATATACGACTTCTTTTTTCGTGTGCAAATATGCTGTTTTAGGGAATATTTTACGGTAAATTATTTTCATTTCTTCTTTAAGCTCCTTTGCAAAATCTTCACCATTAATTTTTTCTATAGTTTAAGAAAAATTCTAGATATCAAAAGCTCACTCACTACCTTGCAGCTGCTATTGTCGTGCTGGTATCATTGAGCAATTCATGTCACAAATTTGAAACTTAAAGTTTTGACAGCGATTTATCTGACCGCTATTCTTTGGCACCTGTGAAAGTGTTATCTTCTGCAATAACGACCAGTACATCTTTGACCTCTCGCAGCAGGTATTGGGCTACGCGAACATCATCAATCTTATTTTCACGTATCACTTAATGACTCACGGTTAAACAAGAAAATTGTTCTAACAAATACTTTTTAATGAGGAGATAAAGTAGAAAGGTAGATGTACACGTTACGAAACAAGTCAAAGAATGTCACTGGCCCAATTCAACTGTTGGTTGCATGCACTGTCGTACTGGAACTAGTTGTGGCCATAAGCGGCAAAAATCCTATAGAAAAGACAATGTACGTTGATACTGACCTTTTCAGTTTGCAAGTGCCTCAGTTGTTTTGATAAACCGAATGAATATTTTTGTACAACAGTAAAATCAGCTATTTCTGAATTTTCTTACACAGGTAATGCTCCATGATAGTATAAAACATGGCCAAATTTACAACAAATTTCAGGAAATTTAATTTCCGGGTGTGAAGAGTATCTCATGACATCCACAATGAGCAAGAGATTATTTTTCGTGAACTCTTATAAATGGAAAATAGAGCTTTCCATAGCTCATACCTTTGTTTAATCAGAAAACCAATTTCGATATCGATTATTTGGCTCATTTTCAGTCGAGATTTAATTTCTGTATGCTGCCTTCAAATAGTTTGCTGACTTTCACCTCGACTCAACATGTTGGGGAATCATTCCAGTCCCTTGTTCTGTTTGACAACAGTGAAATGTACTGAAAGTATTTCCATAAAAACAAAAGAATACTATCTTGGAATGTTTCTCCAATGGCATGCCGTCATGTGTAATAACTTGTGAACTTAGGAAATGTCTGAACCTGTACTGATCCAATTTCAACTAATAACTGTTTCATTTTTGAACCAATTTTTGGCTGCTTATATTGATCACCAAAATCAAACAGACACACATTTTCACTTTATTTCTTTCTGCATTTTCTTTTTAGAGGTTTATTTTCTTCTGTTTTGCCATGATGAGCAGATGATTTCTGAAACAGCTTAACAGGAAGCTTTGATAATACGATTATCAACTAGTTTTAGGAGCAGTAGTTTTTAACTTTTTAATGGTAGTATCTTCACTTTCTTGTAATGTTTGACACTGCAAAAAACATATGAAGGGCACCCTTTTGGTTTTCCATAAATGCTGTTTGATGCTTTCCTTTTTCGATATTGAGTACTAGAAAACAATTCCATCTATCAGCTATATTTTTTTAGCTCCCTCTATCATTTTGAGTCATTCTGTTCCTTTTTGAAAATTCTACAAACTGAAAAAAGAAGTTTATAAGAATATGTTTATCATTCAAGCTTCTTGAAAACAACAACATAATAAATTATAATTCAAACGAGATCGCGCCTTATTTATATGTCACAGTAGTCTAGCTTTTAAAATTTTTATAAAGTTTTAGTTACACATTTTTGTGGCATTTTTATTTTGTGCTCTTCATGAAAAAGCGATAAATTTCTGTTGCATATGGAGAGAAACTGGTTTCTCTGCTTCTTTCTTCCAGACGCGTTCAGTGACGTGGGTAAACATATTCAATGGCCAAATCATTTTTATTTTGCAGTCCCTCCACTTTGCTGCTTTAGGTGGTTGTCTACTTTTCCTAATAACACTGGTACTCAAAAAAGATCACAATCACTTAGGCACCCCTTCATATCAGGGTTATTTTTCACGAAAAAGCTGGCTTGAGACACTGAAATCACAGCAGTGGTACTTTGTTCCTCCACATAAGTATCGTGATACAGCTCTAATGGGCTTTTGTGCCCTTGGTCTTCTCAAACATGTCCATATTTGGTAAAATGTTTGTGGAAAATTTGTAAAGATATGTGGTCTAAGATTGACTATTTCATCCTATGCGGAAGCATGTTATGACAGAAATTGTGGTGTCATGCAAAAATGCATAATTATGGGCACCAGACTGAGTACGATGTAAGAAGTCGTTCCAAGAATAGAATGTTCTTATACAGTACGATCAAACCCAGCGTATTAACCAATTTCTTAAGTGTGTATATCGGGTATTTCGTAAATACAAGGTGAGATCAATCTTACACACTAGGAAAATAAAAACCATGTGATTACAATCCAAATCAGGATTAAGTAAGAGGATTTTAGGTATCTCACTAAAAGGTCCACATTAACAGTTGTGGATATTACATACAACCCTGATAACGGTATATATTAATACTCGTATTTCCAAATATATTGATATACAAAGAAGACATTAGTGATTATAAATGTAGTGTTTTGTCTTATATTGGGTTAAAATGTGTACGTATTTAATTTTCATGATTGCTAAACGAAACCCATTACAACGTCTCTAATTCTTAAGCTTACAACTTTAAAATTCATAACTGGGTTCCTTTGGCTGGCACAGAGCATAAACTTATTTTGCAGCATTGCGTTTAACACATGTTTAGTTAGTGTTTTGTTATGCTAGACTATTGTGTTTTTTAGATACAAAGAAGCCTCTTCAAATTGCGTTTAAGAGATTTCCTTGTACTTACTTTTGTTTTACGTCAAGATCTAAGTCGTATGGTTATGATTGTTAAAATTATACTTAGGTAGATTTAGAGACCAAACAAAAAAGATGATGTTACCAAAATATGTGGTAACTAAAGTTTTGCCTTGAATTATTAAACATATTATAGAAGTAAGAAATCATTTAACCAGTTATAAGGTTTACCCACATACAGTTGTAAGAATCATACTGAAACCAGAGTGCAGAATATACAGTTTTCTATACAGTCGCCATGTAATTTATATATATGTTGTGTACGAGTTTCGCTGTCCTAGATATAACTTTACGTATATATATAGTCAACCACCAGATGGCTTGAAACACGAAAATGCCATCCTAAGAATTAAACACAGAATCAGTTATGAGAGGTTATGCATTCTATGATTTCGACGTATGTGTGCACAATAGCATTTAAAAACGTTTAAAAGTGTACATTAGTGTATAAAGCTAAACCACAACACAACATGAATTTAGCATATACACTTCCGCTGTGTCTTGAAGAGACATCTGAAATGTACAAAACTGACATTAAATTCGTATAAAGGTTTGGTTTCGAGAATATCTCAACGTTACCCAAATTAACATTCAATGAGATCTTGAATAGCAACAGAGAAACTATAAACACAAAAACAATACATTGTGTGTATGACACAAAATATGCATTTAATACAAACCGAGGTAATATTTACAAATGGTGTACAGAATGAAACATAATTTATTTTCCAAAGGTATTAAACCTATAGGTAACCAAATAAGTTTCAACATAGCTCTGTAAAATTAATTATGTTAGTTCGGTAAAATGAAGGTGAAGTGTTATTAATCAAATTATATACGATTACTTTGTAAAGAGTTGTAGGAAATAATTGTCCAAAAGAACCAAATAGACGGAAGTCAAGTATGCTAAATGAAAACGAAACACTGGAGGGTGATATCGTGCCCATCTGAATTCCTCAATTGCAAAGTTTACTAGACAAACAGTGTTAGGCCTAGTATTCCTATATTTCAAGAAGACATCTTATAAAATAGGTGGATTAAGAGCTTTCAGTAGGATCCTTAAATTGCTCATTTCGTTTTCTTTTTATTAACCCCTAATGTTAGTTAATACCAAGGTTGTATATTTGTTTTCTAATAAAGACTTTTAAATTTACTCAATTTACAAATCATATTTCAGATCTTGATTCGCATCTAGTCGCCAGGTTAGCATTGAATTCTACTAAACTTAACAGCATGTCTGACGGTTTGAGGCAAATCGCACAAAGTTCTAAGAAGTTCCTTGGAAAAGTCCTTACAAGAACTCTTATTGCACAAGGTATCGAACTGAAACAAATATCAGTTCCTATTGGAGTTTTGTTGGTGATTTTCGACTCATACCCTAATTCCTTGCCTCAGGTAAAGCCGTGGATTGGTTTTAGATTATGAGTATTTTGCAAGTATAAAATATACAGCCATTTTAAAATAACATAGAATATCTCTTTATTCTACAAAATGTTATGTGGTTAATATGTGTTTATGTTGTGTATGTAGTGGTAGTTTCATTGAAACATTGATTTAATGATCCTTGTCTTTTAAAGATTTAAGAATATGTGAAGGTAAAAGAACAATTTTTACATTTTTAAAACATATTTTATGTTTACCTGTGTAACCGTATTTCCAGTAAGAGTTGCATTTCTGTTTTTCTTTCCCTCTCTAACTCTTGTTACTCTGTCACAAAATCATTTGTTCTTTTGATTCCTTTTTAATATTTCAAATTATATTATATCCAATTTCTGCTATTGTCTCTTTCAATATCATTAAACATCAGAGGATAACATATATATTTAATTTATCAATCTGTTTTAGTCCTTCATATAATGTTGTAGCTAATGTATAAAACACACTCTTTAAAATGTTAAATGCTCATACTTTAAAGCCAGAAGAGGTTAATAATGTTAATTTTTTCAAACCAAAAAGCGTTATATGTGTGATGTTTAATAGCTATTTATATTTGTTTATACGAGGGTAATGAGTTTGGCTTTGTATTAGCCGTAACTGTTATCTATTCCTGTCATAAGTCAAGTGAAGTATGACATAATTTTATATTATTATGGTATATAGTGATATATCAAAAGCGATTAACAAGACGTGTTTTATAGCTTTACTAGAATGCCATATTTTGATTTGTTTTGTACTTACTAGATGACAGCACTTGCCATTAGCACCGGCAATGGTCTTCTGCTTAAAGGTGGTATAGAAGCAGCGGAAAGCAACAAATGTTTAGTACAAATCATTAGGGAAGCTTTATCACCATACAACGCCATGGACGCTGTGTCTCTTGTGAGTTCAATAATTGAATGATTTTGACTACATTTTCAAGTATGCATAAATTTGATAGTTTAATTCCTCCACATCACATCTTTTAAACATCTTTTGATACAATTGATGATTTAATTTGAATTTCGCGCAAAGCTACACGAGGGCTATCTGCGCAGGGCGTCCCTAATTTAGCAGTGAAAGGCTAGAAGGAAAGCAGCTAGTCATCACCACCCACCGCGAACTCTTGGGCTACTCTTTTATTATAACGTCCCCACGACTAAAAGAGCCAGCTTGGTGCGACGGAGATTAGAAACCGCGACCCTAACCACCTGGTCATGCCCGGCGGATGACTTAAAAGAATATATATAAACATGGAAGCTAATTTTAGCTCAACTTTAAGTATTCGTCGAAAGAACAATCTAAGCGTTTTAACATATATATTGCATTTCTTCTCCTCAAATATCACCCCTGATACATCTCTTTCTTGGGTTTAATATGCATCAGTAGTCATAGTCAAGTTTAAATAATCTGGCCTAGCATATGTCAATTTGTTTGTAAAAACTATTTTATTTTTCTAGTTACTAGCATACCTCCTTTAGTGAATTAGTATTTTAAATCATTTCAGTAGTCATAGTCAAGTTTAAATAATCTGGTCTAGCATATGTCAATTTGTTTGTAAAACTATCTTATTTTTCTAGTTACTACCTGCTTTAGTGAATTAGTATTTTAAATCATTTCAGTAGTCATCGTAGAATAGTTCTCACGACTAATCAGAACTGAAATGTTAATAAATATATTAACATGCATATTGTCTCTCTCTTAAGATCTTTTGTCTCTCGGTAACCCTAACGTAATTTTACGAACTTATAACTGTAAAGTCCGAGGCTCTATTCCCCGCGGTAAACAGAATGTAGATAGTCCATCTTAAGAAAACAACAACTAAAAACAATAACGCCTTCTTAGTCAGTTTACTATCTACAAGAATGTAGAAACAGATTTTTAGATCTACCTGTTACCTGATACGTTCCACTAATGTACTTTTTCATTAGTTTGGGGCCTCTCGACCTTTGAGTAAAGCTTTCATTGTCATATGCCTAAGCTGGCGAAGCTGTTGTCACTTTAACTTCTTGTAACACGAAAGCAGGAAATTTGAATTGGCGAATTTGTCAATGAAAAGCGCAAAGAGAAAATAAAACAAACTTGGACACTAAATGAATGAAACTAATATGGATCTTCAAACTGTGAGCTTAAGAGTTGTTGAGTAAATTTATTCAAGAACAAAACTTGAATTATTTGTTTCAGGTTAACGAAAGGGAAGATGTAGCTGAGTTGTTACAGTTGGAAGAGTATATTGATCTGGTCATCCCACGTGGATCTAGTCAGTTAGTTCATTCCATCCACCAACAAAATTGTCGCATTCCCGTATTGAGCCATGCAGATGGTGTATGCCACGTTTACGTGGATAAGGAAGCAGATTTTACTCAAGCTGTAAAAATTAGTAGGTATTGGAGAGTATGAGGTAGAGTATGGCCTTCTTGTAATGGACACAGTTAACCATGCTAAAGCCATCTCCAAATCAGGGAATGATTTTAACAACTAACGTTTCTTTACTATTTAAACCTATAAGAATTATGTGCGAAAAGTAAAATAAACATTTAAAATCTGTAACAAAAATGAGAGCTGTCTTCTCAGCTTTTAAAGGTAGATATTTATTATGTCAAAAATTGTAATATGTGTGTGTGTATTTTAACTTTGCCGAAGCAGATTAATATTTCTAAGGTAATATATATTTGAATAAAAAGTTCTAGTTTGAATCTAATAGAAGCAATGAATTGAAAGTTGATCATCTAATTTGAATATACTCCAACTCTACATCAAGTAAACTCAGGCAGGAATGTTTACATTAAACATAGAATCTGAGAATACTCGAAACAATGAGTTTTGTAATGATAATAATTTAACCCAATACATTTGGGTCAGAATGTTTACTTAATAGTCTAACTGAAGATACTAAGAATTTGTTGGTTCAGTTTTAATAATCTAACTTTATCTTTGTTGGTTTGTAATTAAGCACAAAGCTACACAATAGGCTATCTGTGCTCTGCCCACCAC